ATATATATCAATAACTAAATACATAATATACAATACTATCAAGTGTTTCTCTAAAAGTAAATCAATGAATTGTTTCAACTAATGAAGGAACAAAGATGGTATTCGGTTGTTTTTCCATTTTTATTATTATTATCTGATAAGTAAGAGTGAACCCATTGAAGCCTTGGGTTGCTAAATCCATAGATCTTCAGTTTCATATTTATTTTCTGTATTTATCGACAGTTATTTTGTTCAATTTTAAATTAATTTTAATTAACTTCTTATACTTATTGTAAAGTGCCATGAGAGTTTTTTGATATGTGTGCTATATAAATACTGGTTATTATTATTGTTATTAAAATGTTGTGGTTTATAATGTCAAATGCCTTTTTAAAGTCAGTGGAGATCAGACCAGTAACGTTGTTGTTGTCCATAGTAAAAAGAAGTTCATCTAATAGTTTTACAAGTTAGAGCTGTTTTGGTGGGGGAGAAGGCTGCCTGGATTTAGTATTTGTGGTTATGTGCATGGATCAAGATTCTTTTACACTTAAGCATGTATTGTATTGTCATAAGTTACCATCTCCCTTGTGCCACATCAAAGGCTTGATATTTTGCTTAGTTTCCTCGCAGGAGTTTTAAACTTGGCTTGACATTTCTCTTGAAATTGTATTAGTAGAGGTAATAGGATTGAGTGAAGTACAATTGAGGAGGTTATTGGGTGAGTGATTTCAAATTTGCTGAGTGCATCCTGCAGGTGTAATTTGAAATCACAAGTATGATCACCCTTGAATTTACTACATGAAGTTGGATTACCAATTTATTGTGTCACTAACAAAATGCCAGAAACTCAGGAGTGAAAAATGTAGCATAAGCACATACCGTCATTAAATAGTCATCGGACCACTGTATTTTGTCCATGTTTGTTTTCGATGTGGACCTTTCAACCTGCTTTCTTAAGAGGCTCTCCATTGTGTAAGGGTAGTATTGCCTAGGTTTCTTAATTGTTATTGGCCTCTTAGCTGTTGGATTTGGCCTGTTTTATTATAAGTGTGCAATCAAGTGGATGAAATTTCACAGTTTGGACTGAGTAACCCAAATGAGCCACAGATAAGACAAATGAGTCACAAATAAGGGCTGTTAAGAACCAATCATATTCAAGCATTCTATTATTGACACAATTAGTACTCTTGCAATCATCATATTCCGTTTTTGATAATTTTTGATGAGTGTCACATAAATGGTGATTATAGGGGTAAATGGAAGAATAATTTGCCAAAGGGGTTGCGTGCATATCTATAAGAGAATTGTTTTTATATGTTATTGATTTCTTTTTCTTTGCCTAGATATCAAGCACTCTGACGAGAAAAACACAGTCTTTTACGGAAAATGTTTGGCCACCCAACAATTGTACACCACTGTGCCCTGGGTCAGCAGGATGCTCATACTCTGGCAAGCATCATGAGTTGATCTTATCACTTTTCAAATGTTCAAATCAGGGCAATGGCATTGAAAAATCTGACTTCAAAAACGTTCTGGATAAGTTTATTAAAACAAGGTGGATTCGTGATGATTGCATCCCAGATAAAAGTGAAGAACTCCATTTTCCATTAGTACACTGGGCATGCATTTTTGGACGATACAAACTCTTGGAGTATCTCATTAGAGAGAAAGGCTTTAAGCTCACGGTTACCGTCGGAAGGAATAAGGAGGGGCCACTGTTTTCGATGGTTCGGCATCTAAGTAATGGTATGCCTCCTAAGAGCTCCAAAGAAAAGCTCGGAAATATGTTTGGAAGCGTTATAGATATCTTCATGAAGTACAGCCCAGAAGGCTTGTTTGAGAGAGAATCCAGTAACGACAATACCATATTGCATTTCTGTGCCGAACGGTGTTGTGAAGATCCGCCTTCTAGAAAATATTTGGAAGTCCTCTTGGTAAAGATCAAGGAGAGTGACAAGTTTCCACCTGAGAAAGAAGAAGAATTATTGTCAGCAGTAAACAACAAAGGTGATACTTTCCTTCATCTTATGGTATCAGATGAAATGTCCACTGACATTTTGACTAACTTTTTTGCGAATTTTAGTAAAGTTAGTGAGAAGATTTCTATAGCCAGAAACAGTCTTGGTAAGTGCCCTCGTCAGATTGCTGTAGAGAAAAGGTCTGTTAAAGTACTAAAGACTCTTGGGGCACCGGATGTGGTGATGAACAGTTTAAAAAAGGCCTTGATTGTCCCCAGTAAACCAAAGAACTCTCTTGCCGTAGCTAAGGAAACTCCAAAAACTGTGGCTAAACCCTCCTCGAGTTCAAATGGCACATCTAGCGATAGAGAGAATCGAAACTCTAAATCAGCTCTCAATCATTTGGGTTCAGCTGTTAAAGGTGCAACAGGAGTGTCATTTGCAGAACAACCCGAAGTGCCAATCATTACTGATGCACAATTACAGGTTGCAGATTTCAAAATGTGTTCATGTGAACCTGTGCCATCTTCTGTGGAGAACGATTGCAGTACGCCAACCAGAAGGCCACTCAAGCCATTTCCTCAGCGTTATCCTGTTCCAAATGGAAAAAGTACAACACCACAAAAGCCCTTTGATGTTCCTAAGAACATCGTGTTACCCTCTACCGAGTCGATAGATATGGTTGATGCTGTCACTGTTGTTGATTTGTCTTGTGTATCTGATGTACAAGAAGCCGATCCCACTCGTGACGAGTACAGCGTGTTTGTCAGTCTTTCAAACAGCATAAGAAATTGCGCCCAAAAGAGAACAGCTCCAGGATCCAGCAGGGCAAAGGGTCCCAAAAGGAAGAAAGTGCGTACTGATTTGTCGTCAGATTCAAACAGCGATGATGAGGAAGGTGCAGGCTGGGTAGCCCTTGACGATGACTCAGATGATGACGTGGAGTCTGCTGGCGAAGAAGACGACGAAGACGAGGATGAAGAAGATATGGAGGTGAAAATCATTGAAGGTGATGACGTTAAACGGGGAGAAAAGGAAGGGAAAAGCCCAGTGGAAACTGATTTAGATTTGGAGGATGCAGGTAAGTGCTTTATGTTCGTTTTTCTTTCTTTTTTCTTTGTTTTTTTTTCCTTGCTCTTTTGACTTTCGCCTTGTTCTTGTGCGGACCAAACAACTTGATCTGAACAATGATGTCGGAGTGATATTCCTATTAAGAGTCGTTTCGATACTTGAGGTTTTTGTGTTATTGTTGTTTACTTCAAAAATTTATTCTCCTTTCATTTTTCTTCCGCCCTAATTGTTATGATAGACAGGGCTCCCGATACTTTGTTTTGGGAAAGATATAAATCGCTTCGTGTATAGTTATCAAAGCAAGTCGACGCCACTCTTTGGATCCCCCAAAGCATCGCGTAAACGAAAGCGAAAATGACTTTGTGCGGTTCTGCTTGGTACATGTTTGGCTGTGTTGTTGCTCACAATGAAAAAAGAACTTAGTAAATAACAAAGAAAAGTGCACTTCAAGTGTTTTGTAAATTTACTGTAACAGCAAAGAAGAAATATTCTTACTACAAAGACTTATTGTGAGCAAATTCTTCGATGGTGGTGGTTTGAGTTAAAATCATTTGTTTCTTTTTTTTGTTGTTCTGTTGTTAACCTAGCAGTAGATAAGATACCAGTGGCTTGTGAGATGATTAATTTCTCCTCTTTGATCAGTAGCCTGTTCCTTGTATTCAGTTAGTAAAACAGAGCGCGATAGTCAACGGGGCGATATTAGGGGCTGACAGAAAAAACAAGGTCGGTTTGGATCGAGCCACCTGACAACAAGACCTGAGCCAAACCTCCCCATTTTTTTTTCGCTCTGTCGGTGCTATCTCGGTGTTTACTAACGCGCTCTGTTTTACTTACTGAATGCTTGTAACATGCTATCCATAAAGAAGTGAAAGTAGTGGTTACAGCGAGAACAAATGATATAAGTGAATAAAGGCTGATAGTTTCGAAAGAAACTGTTTGGGGCTGCGTCGGTGGGAATAACGAAATAATTTGGATATATCAACAAAGTTGAAGTGGTAAATTGGCCACCGTAACGATTACAAAAGCTGACGTTTCGAGCGTTAGCCCTTTGTCGGAGCGAGTAGAGGAGTTGTGGGTTGTGTGTGCTTTTAAAGGCAGAGAATGGAGCTACGTTATTGGTGGGAACATGGCAAAGAGAAAAACAAGAATAAATTAGTGGAATGAAAGGCGTTCGTTGATCCCTGTGGGATTTAGACTGCCGGTTTGAAAGATGAGCTTTTGTTCAAGATTTTTACGGCTTTCCGTGCTACCTAAGTGTAAGGAAAGACCGCAGATTGCCATATGTTGCGTAGAACGATTAGGTAAATTAAAATGTCTAGCGAGTGGTTTCGATGTGCCCTTGTCATTCCTTTCCACGTCTCGGAATCGTGTTCCAGGTGTTCTCGGAATCGGTCACCTAGTCTTCTGCCTGTTTCGCCGATGTATATCTTTTTGCACTAAGTGCAAGTTATGCAATAGATTACATTGGCGGAGGTGCGCGTGAAGTGATCTGTGATCTTAATGGATCGTTTAGGTCCCGATATTTTATCAGGGTTGTGAATGAAAGGACACGTTTTGCATCGTGCACGAGCGCAGTTAAAAGTGCCTGGTTGGTCATTAGTCTGAAAAGAACTTCTGACCAAAAAATTGCCTATGTTTTTGTCGCGTTGATATAAGTGGTCGATTGATTTTGGAAACCACTGTATAACTCGAACCCCATTTTCTTTGCGTTCTCTAGTAGGCTTGAAAATTGCTCTACATTAACATTTATCTTTTTTGTTACAGTGCTGAAGCATACGCCGTTTTGCGGGAAGAACTGTGATGTACAGCACGATAGGCTCCTTCTTGCTCTCTTGAAATCCTCTAATCACCGTCCCGTCGACTCCTTCATAACACAAGTCAAAGAATACGTTAATCAATTGGGAAAGTTTTCGGACGTCTGGGCCAATGCTGACCTACCCGACCCGGTAAATTCCTTCAAGTACCCCTTGGTGCACTGGGTCTGCGTATTGGGCAAATTTAAAGTGTTAGAGAAGCTAGCAGCCATGAAGGAATTTGATCTAGGTGTTCAATCTACACGCACTGGGGAAACAGGATTGCATCGAATGCTTCTCTCTCTTCAGCAAGCCATAGTTCGAAGGAAAAGCCCAACTAAGGCAGTACTAGAAGTGTTTTCCAAGACGTTGAGAGTATTAACCGACAATCTGCCTGGTATAATAACTGTTTGTAACAAAGAGGGAGATTCACCGTTTCACTGCTTGGCGAAGGTGATACTCGATAGTGTGGGAGAGCTGGAGAGAATGAACACATTCGAAGGTTATTTTGAACATTTAGTGAAAGAGTTAAACCGTTTGAGGAGATCTGAGAAGTTGGCGTCAGAGGATGTGCGAGAGCTTCTTTTGAAAACTAACAATAGTCGAGAAAACTTCCTGCATATTTTAGCCTGTCGACACGGAGTTGGTCATCGTGTTATAAAGAGCGTATTGAGGAACATCGAACCAGACATTATGGCCGCCCTACAGGCAGCTGTAAATGCAGATGGCAAAACTCCTTCGGATCTCGCTGAGGATCTTTGCTCTTACGAAATGGCAGAAATACTCCGCCCTCTTGACCAGGAGACGTCCACTAAGGAGGCCCACCCCGTGCAGGAGTTACCACCGACACCAGAAAGAAATGCCCTACCAGAATTATCAGCCATGAACTCACCACCAGCTGCCCTTTTTCATTCCACGGAGAACTCTTTGAGCATCAGTGTTCAAGTTCCAGTAAAGGAGGAGCTTATAGAAGACGGCTTTTTGGTGGAACCTTCAGAAAAAAGCTCCAATAACGTTAATGACTCTTCTGGTCCTTCTGAAGTGCAGGCCGATGTCCCTTCACTCACTGCCGTCAAATGTTTGCCTGGAACAGTAAAGAGTACGATCCCTTCTTTCTGTTCGCCCGCAAAACAAGACGTGGATACTAGGGCTTCCTCGTCAGTCAATGGTAGAACGGAAAACATTGTTACAGTGGCTTCCGACTCCGACGCAAACAGTCAGCCTAAGAACAACAACATGGATTCCTCTATTTTGTCAGTCATCATGAGGATGCCAGGCGTAGTGAAATCCTTGCGCGACTCTGTACAAACGAAGTTGACCCAGTCTCAGAGAGAATTAGCAGATAAAGAGTACTCTTTGGCTCAAGTGCATCAGCGAAAAAGCGATTTGGAGAAACGTAAACAAAAGCTCTTGAAAGAACTCGAGGAAACTTGGAAAGAAGTCAATGCTGCTGCTCAAGAAGAAGGTGTGTTGCAGGCCGAAATTGCTGCGAGGAAAAAAGATATAGAGGCATTCAAAGTCGAGTTGACGAAGTACGAGTCCAAAAGACAATGATGTAAATGAGTGTTATTACACTTCTATTTAACACGAGGAAGCTTTTATCCCGGGAGTGGAGTAGAAATTCCTTAGAGGTCTCTAAGGTGTGTGAGCGGGGAAACTTGGAACGGGACTAGTTGAGTTTTAAGATTTTAACCACTAAGTTTGAAGTTTGCCTCTCGGCGAAAAGCAATTTTCCTCTGTTCGGGCTGTTTACTGATTGCAAGCCAAGTAGTTTAGTTTATCATAGTAAATTAACGAAAGAACCAGTTAAAATGTAAATTTAGAGAGACCAGATTAAGATAATTTTTGGTAATTTTTGTTTGTATTTGAAGATTGTGAGATTTAGAATTAAAATTGAAAGAATCTACAATGTTTTTTGCAAAGTTATGGGTTCGTATCAAATAAGGATATTTTTTATATTTGTTAATTAACAACACTTTCAAGAAGAGGAAGTTAACACGGAGATAATTGGGTCTTCAGTCTCCGATGTTTGCGTTAGGGGTCTCCCTTTTCTTCATTGAGGAAAGTCACGCTAAAGCTATGAAGTTGGACTGACCCTTCTTGACGGAGCGTGCCCGTCTACTCATTATACAAAAGTTCGTCGCCTAGGGAAGGGGGGTTTAACCTAGACATCTCGAGCTACAGACTAGTCCGCCTTAAATTGTGCAGATTTCTCATAGAAGTGACCCTAAAAGGAAAGCTACTGCTTAGCCCCAAAATAGGCAAACTCCACAGCTAAGCTGAGGCAGGAGCCCATGGGCTCCTGGTGCTGAGGACGAAGCCACGGAAAAGTCCTGTTAAGCTTTGTATAACTCAGCTCTATTTTTGAAGCGTTTAACTCATGTTGTTCCTCGTACTCGTCTTAGCCTTTCATATTTTTAGCGAAGTCTGTGCCCATGTACGGTGCATTAACCATTTTATGCTGGTGTGATCTGACAATTGCGCTGCAACTATAGATTTTTAAGTTAGGAGATGTTTGTTTGAAAAGTGACAGAAAAGGGCCTCATCATCCTTTAAATTTAAAACAGAACTAGTAAAGATGCTTTTTGCCGCGGGGTCCTTTCTCTTACTTTCGTGGTCGAGCAAGTAGATTATGTGATTTATTCCTGTGGGAATTGTTATCAAAGGGCAAAGAGAACCTTGCTCCGTTGCTAAAAACAAAGGAAAGGATTGAGTGACTAACAAACTAGCAGAACTACCATCTCCCATGTCATTTATAACCGTTAAATTTGGAGGTAGACTCTCAATTGTAATGAGTATTTAATATTGAGTATTTTTTTTTTCAAGTTGAGCTTTTGGTGAACGCGCTTGGTCGCGTCGTTCTGAAAAGTTGAGCTTGAGGTGAAAGCGCTTTGTGATGTCGTTCTGGACTGCTTGTCGCCGGTTTCCGATCTTTTCTGGTAGATAATGAGGAAGAGTTGTTTAATCCAAATTGTGTGACCGTTAATTTACTGGATAACCTGCGGAGGAGATGCGGTTGTCAAAAAGGAAGTAAGTGAACTATTATATATTTATTTGGGTAAATTGTAAATTTGTTTTTAGATCGTGTCATATACAAACAGTGGCCAGCGCTACACCTCGCAACTTACCGACGGAAATCCAAAATTGTGCTAAGAAAAGAGAATTTGGAGAATTATGATCTGTCAGCTGGAGATTCTTGATCAGCCGCAGATATATGCGTTAGCAAAGACATGCAAATACCTATTCTAAAATGACGGGAAAACTAAACAGATTCGAATTAATTAACATGAGCCATCAAACAAAGACTTCAGCGCAAATAGAGTCAGATTACTGGTTTAAATAGGGACCGTAGCCGGCTTTGTTAGCGAAGCAATTAAACTTATTCGTACACTCGGCAAGCACGGCGTAAAACTTATTTTTAAAACGCTCGCAGGAATTAGGCCATTCATGTAGATGCCTTTTCTCTTGGTGTCTGTAGTTTGTAAACGCTTTAAGCATTTTATACGCTGGCTAATCCCGAATTTTAAAAGTGCAAAATGACTCTTTGCGTGCTGAGATCTTTGTTTGATGTCTTGTGTTTTATTCATTCAACTCTTATAAAGTCTTCATCATCATTCTCTAGAAAGTTAAGAATCTTTTTTCTTTCCATACCGCCCTTACTTCTCTTACACATTTCAACTACCTAAACTAATTGTAGGCTTGCTGAAATGAGTTTTTTTAACGAGTAAGAATTCAAAGAAAAAGAATGATTTTCGTGGTTTGAAACAAGTTAGCGACCAAGTGGCTTGGACAAATTATCTGAATGTTCCTTTCACAAGACCGCCTGTTTGTGAATCATAGGAATTAAATTGTGGGGTTAAGTAAGGGGATTCATAAAGAAGCAGTCTGTGGAATTATGAAGAAAGCTGTTTTTTTTTTTTTTTTTTTAATTTACAAGCTGAAATGCAAGAGTTCGCTGTTAAGCAGTCGTTTCCTAGGAGAGGGGAGTACTTTTTATAAACTTCACGATCAGTTCGTTCTTTACTTTTGTCCCCTTTGGCATTAACGTTGGACTTGTCCGATGAAGATGGTGAAACAAAAAATCTAAACGACTTCCCAACTCAGTATGCTCACAGATTCCTGAAAGGAAGGGAGGTGTTTGTACTCATCAAAGTCGAAAGTAAGTTGTGAGACTGACTTGAATAACTAAAACCTTAAAAAAAAAAAATTGGAGTGACATACTGAAGAGCAGGAAAATAGTATGAGCTTCCGCAGCTATCATCATCATCATCATCATCATCTTTATTTGCCTTATTTTAACAACAAAAATATATAATTACAGCAATAACAGTTAGAAGGCGAGGAGACCCAAGAAGCCACCAGGCTTATGGGAGAGCCATCTCACTTACAATAATGAATTAAGTAAAGAAAAAGTGCTGCGAATGTGCGGCTTGGCCAATTCAGTGATTATTTAAGTAAAAACTCTTGAAATTTCGTTTTAAAGCTGAGAAAGTTTGACGAACGAGTGACTGAAATAGGGAGAGAGTTCCAAATTTTAGGACCTTGGTAGAGAATTGTAAATTGCTTGACATTTGTACGGCACAAATGCGTTCGATAATTACTGGCTGTTCTGGTACCATAGTTGTGAATTTGGCTATTCCTTACAAAAAGATCGAGAAGCAATGGGGGCAATAAGTTATTTTTGAAATAAAACATAAATTTGGCGATTTCAAACGTATTGACTTGGAAAATATCTAAAAATTCCTAGTTTGGAGAATAAAGGGGCAGAGTGGTCTCGATAGTCTGAGTTGGTGATAGCCCCGCACAGCTCGCTTTTGCAAATAATAAATTCTATTTAAGTTAGATACGTATGTGGACGACCAGACGGAGTTACAATAGGCGATATAAGGATAAACTAAGGTGTAATACAAAGTGAGTTTGGTTGCAAAGGATAGGGAAAAGCGAGACCTAAATATAAGACCTATTGATTTAGCGATTTGTTTACATACATAGCTGATATGGTATTTCCAGGTGAGATGATTGTCAATATAGACCCCAAGGAGTTTAGTTACATTAGCTTGTTGTAGGGGTTTACCTCCAAAGGAGAGAGAAATGCTGGAGTTAAATTTCTTCTGTCTGGGTTTAAAAATTATATAGTTGGTTTTCTTTCAGTTTTAACTGAAAGCTTGTTGCATTTTAGCCAAACGTCAATGTTTTGGAGTTCATCATTAAGTATGGAATCTATGCAATTTAGATTTGAGTGAGAATAAAAGATACTGGTGTCATCAGCGAAAAGTAGAGGGTCTGATAATTCAGAGGCATTAGGAAGGTTATTAATGTATAGAATAAACAATAGTGGGCCTAAAATCGAACCTTGAGGGACACCACACTTGATGGTTTGCATCGGAGAGCAAGCTTGATTGAATTGGACAAATTGCTGGCGGAAAGAAAAGTAGCTTTTAAACCACTGCAGAGCCACGTCACGGATACCATGGTGCTCCAATTTGGCAAACAAGATTTGGTGGTCGAGAGTGTCGAATGGTTTGGAAAGATCTAGGAAAACACCCACCGTTGTTTGGTGTTGGTCGATTGCAGATGCAATCCAGTTTATTTACCAAATGAATTAGCGCGTGCGATGTTGAGTGATTTCTCCGAAATCCGAACTGACAGCGGTAAAGTAAATCGTGTTTTTCGGCAAATTCTACTAAGCGATGGTATATGACTTTTTCGAAAAATTTGGAAAAATTAGACAACAAAGAAATAGGTCTGTAGTTTACAAAAAAGCTAGGATCCTCTGCCTTGAAGATGGGAATGATTTTAAGTTTGTCCGGGAAAATGCCTTTTAGTAAAGATATATTGATATCTGCCAAAGGAGCAGAAATAAGGTGAAATGAATATTTAATGACATGCACCGGGATACTGTCAGAGCCAGGAGGTTTCTTTGAAGCGAACATGCTACAAATACTCTCCAGTTCACTAGTTGTGGTGGGCTTTAAGTTAATGGAGGGATGTTTGTTGTAACCGAGATAAGAACGAAAAGAAGGATTCACACTGGGTATACATCTAGCTAGGTTGGGACCAATGTTTGCAAAGTATTTGCAGAATCTGTCAGCGATCTCCATTGGATCCGTTAATGTTCTGCCTTCAGATTTAAATGACGTGGGAAGAGATGACTTACTTTTACGCTTGTTCATAACCTCGTTTAACAATTTCCAAGTTGTTTTGAGGTCATTTCTGGCATTCTCAAATTTGGAGTCATAGTATTTTTTTTTGGCAATGCGAATGAGATGGGCGAGTTTGTTTTTGTAGGCTTTACACTTCGTTTCAGAAGATGTGGAGGGCGATGTGACGAGCTTTTTGTAGAGTCTGTTCTTCTTGTTAACTGATTTCAGAAGTCCAGGGCTAAGCCATGGGGAAAAGAACGTGTTCATCTGTTTACCTTTGAGAACCTTTAAGGGAAAACAGGCATTGAAGACGCTGGAGTATTCTTCAATAAAATCACTATAGGCCTCATTGGGATCTTCCATGTTGCGAAATGAGGACCATTTTACGTTTGAAAGGTTCTCGTTGAATTTTTGCAAATTATCGTTATTGAATGTGCGCATCATAATTTTCCTTTCTGTGCTGCGCCTTAGGATTGCGTCGTTAATATAGGTTACCGCAAAGTTCAAGATCCTGGTGTGCCAGAGATCCTGGGTGTTCTGGTGCTTCTAGATACCGGGTTATGATTAAGGATAAGGTAGGGGTGGGGTGGGGGCTGGGGCACAAAGACAAAAGTCTACTGTCAAGAGGATGAGCCATAGTTGAAACAACGTGGAGTTCACAAGTATCATGGATTTCGACATAAGGGGAATTCCACTCATAATAAGGATACGCTTATAATTTCTAATATAATTTATTAACACAACTAAATAATCCTGTTTTCATTACTTATTGGTTTTTTTTTCTTTTTGTAATCTTGGTACAGAGGGTCAGGGTGATCAGCCTACGACGTACACAGCACTGTTGAATGATCTGGAAAGATCAAACCCTAAACTGCTTGGTAAGCAACACTGAGTTGACGGAACAAGTGCCCTGGTCGGAACTAAGGGCCCCAATTGGGGTCAGACTTGTTTTGTTCTTCTTTTCTTCTCACCTCTCTCCACCTCAAAGTATAAACGAACTGTGAGAATATAGCGTCAAAGGGAGGTGTTGGCTAGTCTTCAGAAAATCAGCACTGGGGCAGCTTGATCACCGGAAAGATCTTATTTCAGATTCCCTTTATGTTTGAATGAAAGGACGCAAACCAACCCCAGCCGGACTAATTTTCCTAAACAGGAAACTTCTTGTTATTCTGCTTGTTTTATTCAAAGCCTGGCTATGAAGGGCTTGGCTTGGTCGGCGGACAGTGTCCGTGGCTGAAAGATTGTCTGAAAAATATTTGGCCGAAAAGCGAAGCTCGAGGCAAACTGTGAAATCTCTCAGCCGCGGACATTATCAGTCGACCTAGCAAGTAAGCTAGAAATGAGTTGATTTATTTTAAACCCCTTCCATTAATTTTTATATCGCCTTTCTACCATATTTCGACAAGAATGGTTGGTTTATTTCATAGTTAGTAAACGCAGTTAATTAATTTTCCGTTTTATAAGCGGTTCAAGTTTGAAAGCTGATTTCGAAAGTCAAATTCAAATTTGATTCACTATCAATGGGACCCTATGAAACAAGTTTGTTTTTCTTCCTTGTAAAATAATAAAGATGAAAAGTGAAATTCTTGAGCTGGATTTTTTCCGTTTTGCTTCTTTTCGACGAAAGTAACCGGAGGACAAATATCGCCGTCCTGTAATTATGTAATAAAGTAGCCAATGTAAAATCGTACGAAGATAAATGGTTGGGTTATAATGTTAATTGATTTTCCTCTCCACAGCTTCTCCACCTGGAAAACTACGTCAATAGAAAGTTTCCAAGAATTGAAGCTTTACCAGGGCTTCATTTTGAAAACTGAATACGAGTTTGTGAAACGAAAACTTGTTGTTAATCATGAAATTTCTTTATACAATATATCGTGTACGTGTGTTAGGTGTAAACCAATTTATTTCATCAGATATTTGAAAGGATTGATTTAAGTCAACATAGCTGGATCAAGGCAATATTTGACGATTTCTAAAAGCGATTAAAAAAAACCCATTGTTTTCAATCCCGATGTTAACATCTGTCAGTAGTCGTACGGTACTAGTTCAAAAGGCGTTGCTCTAGCTTTACTTTACGCAGTTTTACTTTAAGCAAGAAACGCTAAATGTCCTTGCACAGCATTACGTTCAGTAACATCAAAATACGGCCCAACAGTTCGCAAATAGTGAAATCTCCACGGTGCTGTCTCTTTTCTTGCTGTTGTTGACTTTTGACGAACCGGGCGCTCTTCTATGTTCAAACAGCTTTACCCTCTATGTAAGGATTATACAAAGGGCAAAGCAAATGGACTAACTACGAGCTAAATGCCTGTTAACTAACCCGGAAAGCTCTAAAAAATAGTCTGGTATCCTCATTCGGCAGACCGTATAGGACAAGTGTTTTCGGTGCGGTTAACCTCTCATAGCATTTTTATTGGAAAGTCTTTTTAATCTGTAGGCAAGTACATATAATATAGCAATAGATGCAATATCATATTCGTGATGAGTTGGGGTACGAAGGGGCAGTTGATCTATGACCTAGCGCGTTTATTCCAACCCTTTTCTAACGTGATCTAGCCTTTCTCAAAAGGCAAAGATTTCCCAGCGAGGCAAAAAATGTCCAGAACAATATACAAGGTTTAAATAATCACACCAAGCGAGTCGGGTCGATGTTGACCAAAAAAAGTGAAAAGGCGGAAACAGCAGTAATCTGGTGAGTGGAAGGTACAGGCAATCGTCAACAATCAAAATCCGCAAAAATAGCTGCTTAACTTTGTTAAGAATAAAAATAGCTGCTTAACTTTGTCGCAATTCGAAACTCGAATTGCGACAAATTTCCCCGGCCAGAGCAAATGCATAAAAAAGCGACGAAGTAGTAGCACAAAACATGTCGAGCTTGCCCCCTAAACAGGCTCCTCCATCTAGATCATGTAGGATACATGAGACTGACCTTTGTCTTTAACAAGGGCGTCTGAAATGAAGTCCTTACAGGGAGAATTCAAATTCAGGTTTGAGAAATTTCTTTAAATTGATTGCTTTCGCGAAATTATGTGAAAATTCCTCTGTATTTCCAAATTTTTTTACTTTAAGTCCCACACGTGTACGCACTGCGGTCCTACCTTATTATCTGTAAAAAAAAGGGAAAATCCTCATGACAGATCCACAGGTTATCGCATAATAGACAGGATAGATGCTCAGAAGCTTTGAATTCAACGGCCCCAAACTGGATTGATGCCTGCTATATTCCTCATCAGAGGATTGCATCTAAATACAAATAGTATGTAACGAGCGGTTTTTTCACTTTCTGAAATTTTAATCAAGGATGGTGCAGTTATTCAACTAGGTTGCAGTTATTCAACTAGGCCCCGTCACACGAGGGCCGGTTAGCGCTAACTCAGGGTCTCTGTTCAAGTGTTGTTTTGGGATAATTTTCCCAATTCTTTTTAGAGCATTCAATCCTCAAATTGTAATCAAATTACACACTTACCCTGGGTTATCTTAACCCACCTTTGAACAACCCGGTCCTGAGGGATATTTGCTTTAAAATTTATCTTATAAGTTATATAATTTGACCACTACGGCTGCAGGAAACTAGAAAAACAATGTAAAAAAAGACTCTTAAGAAGAATTAGAATATGTGAAGATTTTCTTCGTAACAAAACTACTCGTATTTTACCCATTATTACGGAGATTCAACTTCATTGCAAGTGAGCTGGGAATTTTCCTTTGAGTAATGGAAAATGGCTGAATTGTACACCGCTAAAATTGAACCCACATCACGTGCCTGAATAACCAAGCCCGATTCCACTCTTACCACCAGCCCCCCTTGATAACTGGAATGCACGCGATCGTTCGAACTCCTTCTCCAGGTCATCCATTAGCTTCTGGTTCTGCGGTTGTGTGACCTCTCCCATCGTAGTAGCATTCCCTTCTTCTTTAATACCCATCAAGCGCCGGAATTTCGCTTGCATCTCTCCTCCTTGGTCATTACTGAACGTCGTGCTGTTCCACATGGTGGATTTTGGGGCACTGCTGCTGGTACTCGCTGTAGCCTTTTACAGAGAAAATAAGCAAAGGAAAATCCGGTAAACTACGTTACTTCTGTATTTAGTTCCAACACGTCACGAGGCTATAGAGCACTTAAAAATAGCAATTTAGGCAAGTATATATTTTGAAAAGCCTGGCCAAGTTATACTCAACTTGCCTGTCAAATTCTTAACTGCAACATCTGCAGAGGTCATTGTATTTCCAACGAGCACGATGCTTTCGCTAATGTTAATTTAAATAGCTTTTTTAGCGAAAGTTTATGGTTAACTTTCCCATTTTTCCCAGCACGATGTGACGACACAACTCCTTTGAAGAGAGTGGCCGGTCTACGAGTTGTGTTCAGTAAAATAATTCTTTAAGATTCGCAGTTTTACAAGGTTGCGCCTCTAAGGCAGTTTTCTTATCCACTATATTAGCACTCTTTTTTGGCTTATGTTTTTTTTTTAGAAAATAATGCCTATCAAGAGCAACAGAATTTTCGGGCTGACCAGGACTTTCAGCTTTGAGGTACAACTCCGTATTACACTACGTTCTAACGCCTTATATCTACAAAAACGTAAGATAGGCTAGGACACTAAACTGTTAAAGAGGAAGGTTCACCGTATGCTGTTAAAGGTTCACCGTATGCTGTTAAAGGTTCACCGTATGCTGTTGACGGTATGCACCTTGAAATCCTTTACCTAAGCGTTTCAACTGTGTTGCCTGAAATCTGTTTTGAAACTCGTCCTTTCCTATTTCCAGTTCGTTCATGTCTACTTTTACTTCTGCGGAATTTTCGATCTACTGGTGTGACTTATTTGAGGGTTTCCTTCAATTTAATAAAAGTTTTCCTGAGCACAGAAAACAAAGCCCTATATCATAACCTAAAACCTCTAATTAGTTAAAGTCGACACAAACAGAATTACCTCAGCAGTTTTCTTGCCACTCCACAGTAGCTTTCTTTTCTGTGCCTGTACGGCGTATTGGTGCGGATTCACAACAGAAGGGTTCAGATAGCTGGGTAAGTTTAGCATGGAGGCTGCATCTTGTGCTTGCTTTCTGAGCGACTCTGCATGGGCCGCCAGCTTGGCTTGTACCTCTTCTGAGGTAAGCGGACGCGCAGGGCGTGGTAACGTCTCCAGCTGGCCAGTCGAAGTTGCTGTAAATGAACAGTTAACAGATGCTGAAGAATAAAATGTTGATATGTTATGTAAGGGCCGTCTGATACAACAAAAGTAACGTTTTGTGTTAATTTACCATGATTAAGATGTAGTTACTGCAAATATTTTGTAAATGATTACTTCCCTATAACACCATTTTTCTATGTTACCCGCAAAATCTGCGAAGGTCATCCGACAGTATTACATGGCACAAATACGGAGGGAAAGCGCAGCAACAAAATTCCCGCACTAAGGAAATCTAAAGTTTGATTTTTAAGTCATTTGGGCCGGACTTTGTAAGCGACGAACCATTAAGATTGTTTTGATTGGCATAAGAGACTTTTAATGGTTTTTTTTAAGTGTTGCTTTTCGTCTTTTGAGTGCAATAAATACGAATGTCTTTGCTTATCATGTTTCCGAGAGATAGAAGCCTAGATACTGAAAAAATAAATTAAAGTGGAATAACAACTCCCTAATTCGATAGCTTCTTACTATAGACGAGAACATATATTACTCATACTGCGCAACCCATACAAGTAAATATCTGTGCTCATAGTCCAACAAATACTGTTACTCGCGCGTGTTTGGTGAGGAGCAAGAGGAGCACTGAGGGAAACAGTTAGGAAGTGTTACCTTTAACGAATGTTTTTTTATCATGTCCCGGAGAAGCCACTTTTTCTTCTTCTCTACTCCGGTCACGATCTCGTTCTCTGTTTCTATCACGGTCTCTCTCATAGCGCCAGTCTCTGCCCCGGTCCCTACCGTCTCTGCCTTCCCTTTCCCGGTTTCTTGCTCGGTCCCGCTCTCTCTCGTACCGCCTGCTGTAATCACCGCTACTTCGCCGATCTTGGAGATCAAAGATAAGATTTGAAATTGCTTCAGTTCAATGTTGTAAAGCAGACTCCGTACTTGAAACAGAATCATAGATTGATCCGGAAGTGAATGAGTTAAACGACTCACTATTTCTCTCAGAGGTAAAGTTCTATTCACTCTTCTGGGAATTTTTTCAGCATGTTCATTTTGTTGTCTTATAGATCCTCTTATATTCATGAAAGCTCTTGAATTTCTTAAAACACTTTACATTTGGGATCAAAGAAGCTAAACATGAAGACACCCCATGGTATCTTACCTTTTGAATCTCTCTGTGGGCTCCTCTTGTTATCTCTTCTTCTGTGCCTTTCTGAAGATTTCCTTTCACCAGAACCTCGCCTCTCTCGAGATGGACTCCGCCTTCTCCTCAGATCAGGTGTTTTACTTCGTCTTTTAGGTGAATTCCTCCGCTGAGGAGACGAGCTATCCCTATCTGAAGACTCGCTCTGTCTGGTCTTTTCTCTAGAAGGGTTCGTTCCCATGTCTTCTCCATCCCGAGAGTTGGTGCCACGCCTAGCTAATAACTGTTGTACCTTTTCTCTCTCACTGGGACTTTTCCCTTGAGATGGGCTCTGTTTCTCTTCCTTAGCTTGAAAACTTGTTCCATCCTTCTCCTAACAGGAGACAATCATACCCTTTAGAACAAAAAGTTAGTGTTTTGCTTTTATAGAGAGGCTAAAAATTGTCTTGTTAATTTTTAACACCAGTTCTTTGATGGATTAGTGGCATTACACTTTTTGGATTATTTGGTAACCACTGCCCGAAAGTAATATCGCCCCAGGTCAAGTAGCCCGAAATCAGAGTTATGTCGCCCGAAATCCCGAGCTATGTTGCCCGAAGAAATAATTACTTGTAAGATAAGGTAATAAAGAATTCTTTATCCCTTAAAGTGCTACTGAAACGAAATTTTCGTATCTGAAATATTTGTTCTAACCTGTAGTTTTGAATATGCTGATCATCATGAGATAAATTGCTTTGGCCAAAAAGAAGCGAAAGATATCTTTTTTAACCGTTCAAATCAAAAATTTTACACAAAACCATGTCCGGGCCCTGGTACCGAGCGAAATGGATTGATGACGTCACTGGTTGTGTTCACTCCGATAGCGTGGTTTATTTCACTCACTGTTTGTTTGTATTCGTGGGCGAAGGAGATGGCAGATATTGAAGTTTTGTCAAGTGAATCTTCTTCTGAACGAAGCGAAGTTGTCTCCAGTAGCGAAGAGGAAGATGGTGGCGTAAAATGGGGTTGACAGGCCTACACGACTCCCAAGCGTGTGTTTAGAGTAGCCTATTCAAAGTTTAGCCCTCACGAGTATGTCTTTGAGCGACCGCCCTCTTTTGTAAGATACGAGCGGCGGATTTTTGTATAGTTCGCTCAGTAGTGGTTGTGTTTCTATTAAATGCCAGTTTTTCATGAGAATTTGCTTTATGTGTGGCACTGAGTACGCACATCAGGGATTGCGTCTTTTTCGAATCGTTCGCCTTTGTAGATGTACAGCTATTTTTTTGACTGTCTCGATCGTTAAGTTGTCTTGATTGCTTTCAGCTTGCGCCACGCGCGCTGATTCGATCGTACTACAGTTCTTAGTGTTCAGTGTTCCAGCCGTTTTGGCTCGTTTTCTTTTCTTTATTTCGGTATTAAAACGACCGATTTCACGTTCATAGAAGCACATGATCGCCTTTACTGTTTCTTGCTCCGCGTTGTTAAGGATTTGCTTTATCTCATTTTTGAAATCCTCGTCTGCTCTTATTTTGGCCCTCGCCCTATATTGTAGGGATTCTGGGCATGTTCTGCTAGGCATTTGGTACAGAGGGATTTGTTCGTTATCCTCAGACTTGCCGAGTAGATCATCTTCAGTGGCGGTGTCGTATGAGGCTTCCATGTTTTCTTCATTCTCTGAATGGCATTGCTTTGGCCCGGGGCGTTTAGTAGCCCATCTGCCGTTATAATGTCTTTCGA